AAGCCGATTAACACCTTAAACAATAGGCGTTGCGAGTCTGTTGTATTACTAGTCTGAGCTATAATCCACTTGACGAACGACTACTCAGCCAAATACGTTTAAGAAACGCTTCCATATCACTTCTTATTCTATTAGCTTATTGTACGGATATCCCATCTGAACAACAACAAAGGAAGCGAGCCTCGTTCTGATAAGAATCTAATAAAATATATCACAGTAAAGCAAAGAACACAACATTAATGCACATAAACCCGTTGAAATAATATCCGCCAGATGCGAGGTTTATAAAAAAAAAACATCACTATCCAACAAATTGTTTAAAAACACGCTTTGAAACACTAAAGCTTTTTTTCTAAGCTTAACGTGAACGTCGTCCACAGAAGATATTTTACACAACTTTCTAAATTTAATATTATAAGACACGAATGCGATGCATATCTGTTCCTGTATAATCAGAAGAATAATTACGAAAAGGAGCGAAGAAACTACGCAAAAGCATTTTCAGCGGGAGGGCCGTCACCTGCGCACGCGCGGGAATTGAATCCCAAGCGACGATAACAACACACACTAAAAAAGTAAAGGTAGACGCTTGTTTGTAAAAAAATGACACACTAAGGCCATTGACGCATGCGCGGGTGACGACTCGCCCGCTTTAATATAGATATTGTCTTTACTAATGACACTCACTTATACAGTCATTTAGAACATCGTCACCCGTCCATTTACTGTTGTATTGACACTCCCTGGTCGGTGTTCCCGTCTGAACAAATCCATCGTGACAAGAAAACGTGATGACACTGCCTTCCAAATGATGCCTCGTATCACCATCGAAAGTTTTGTATCCATGCCTTGGTGTTGGGATGTGCGGACATGCAACAACTAATAAGTAATCACATAACAACTAGTGTACGTTGATGGGATCATGCAACTCATATTATGTTATTTTGTTGTATATTGATGCACACATAAGATTATGAACTATGCTTACGTGTTGCTGTACTTTGTTTTAAAATCGTACCTTTTTGTGCACTTCTGCTAATGTTTTCGTACCGATCGACCCCGTCTTTGGTTACTCCCCCAATATCAAGTCTCTCTGTCGTCCTTACGTCGAATTCGCATTGCATGTTGCCCTTGCAGAGTTCTTCCATATCATCCAACAATTCCCGCGGTAACTCCTCGTCGCTTGGTGGTTCAAATACCGGCACGAAGTCTGCGTCGTGGTAATCTGTATGGCTTTTACCGGCATCGTATGCGAACATATTGGTGTTGGTAATCTCCCCTGACAAGATATGTGGACTATGGTGACATTGATCAATAGAAAGTGGAACTACACGTCTGTTTTAAACAACAACTGAAAAGATGTGCCATGACAAACTCAGCTTAAACAGCTTTCAGGACTCTAATTTGCGACTATACATACAATAAACTTTTAAACGAAAATGGCCGCCGAAATCCCGTTCAGAGCGAGAAAACCTCGGGACTTGTTTGACCCTAAACAGTGTTGCATTCTTTCTCGACATCGCTACCATTATTCCATATTCATGTACAACTATTACATAAATCAGTGGGACAGTGTATATGATTATGGGGGAGAATGGGCTAATATTTGAGGGGCATATCATATCTCTTCGATTTTAATGAGATCTCTAGGGTTATGTGCATCTAAGTTATCTAAGAAAAAGAATATATCGAGGTTAACATTGACATTTCCTTACATGATCGTCCGAAGTCTTCGAATATCACCTCGGGTGGAGAATTATAATTGATGATGGTGCCAGTTGGTGTAGTAAGGTCATCAGTGGGGTCCTCGTTCCAGTTACCAAAAAGACCATTTACAGTGTTCTGGGATGAGAAAAAAAAATACGTTAGAAATCGTAATTGTCAGCACGAGCATGGTCGCACAAATCCAAGTTTCGCAATCACGTGATATCAGATTTCAGAGTTATGATTCTGAGCAAATCCAAGTTAAGGCTCAAACAACCGCCATATAGTGAATTGTGACGTAAATAGTTGAAAGAATTGTCTGTCGAGCCGATATTATTCCGATATTTATACTTTCGTCCATGACAAATACTATTTTGATAGCTTTACAATATTCTATTTGACTCAACATCCCATTGGTCGCTTTCAACGATATTACTGGCATCCTATATAAAACGTTCACATCACACATGGCTTTGCTGCTAGAGGGCGCGATTTATATAAAAGGGGTTTTACTACATATACAAACAACGTTATCTTACTTTCAGTGTTATTGGTAGGAGAAAGTGTAAGGTCAGCAGGTCATGATTGGCTATGACGTCAACACCAATGCCACGTTCTAGTATTACGGTAACTTGAGCAATATTACTGTCGTCAAGGTAACGCTCGTGATTTTTCAGAGCAACTCCTGTGTAGATAAATTAGAAATATGGTTTTAATCTAAAAAGGCTGAAAACATTAAATTGTTACTACCGACAATTAAAGTGTGTGACACCTTGTTTTTGAAAGAGTATTATCTCAGGATGAAATTTAGCCCTGGTGAGATCATGACGAATTATAAAAAATGGCGAATCTAAGCAATGCAAATGAAATGTGTCAAGCTAAGTATCAAATTAATTGAAATAAAACAATTAAATTACATGCTCTTTAAAATTACGTACATTATGCTTATTTCTTATGTTTTATTTGCATATTGATTGAAATTGCATCAAAATTCATTTAGACGTTTCTCCGTGCTAGTGGTTTTCTCTTGAGGAGATCTCGGCGACCATTTTCATCTAAGGTCTATTGAACTTCATAGGCATAAGTGATTTATTTTCAAATTTAGAGCTGCGTTGTCAGGGCTGCGATGTTCTTCTCACAATTTGTGTATTGGAAAGGGAAAACATGAAATTGTCCCCCTTGATAATAAATTGTGTGAATACAGTGTTGAGCGCAATCAATTTTATATTGAGGACGAATATATTTGTATGGCTATTTGCCATCATTATCACCGTATTATAGCTGATTTTTTGTCTGTGTGGTTTTGCACTAACCCTACTTTCAATAAATTTATCTCGTTTATGAGTTCAAGAAATGATACTAATTTAAGCCAGTTAGCTAGTTTTGTTTATTTTGCCATAAAAAGCACAACTTGAATGTATTTCGTTGTACATAATGCTGTTAAATAAAAGTGTATTTGATCTTTGGGCCAATCATGATGGCCTTTTGCTTTGCAATAAACACAGACACAAAGAAAATCAAGTGATTCATTTCGAATAGATGCAAGGAAAACGGTCAAAATGAACAATGAAAAACATGAAAGTACATGTACTCAAAATGACCACTAAATTATAGTACAATCTGAGATTGGAATTTAGAACTCAAAACGTAACTTTCAAAGGATGCAATTAGATATGTGTGACGTAACCACTCTGACTCGTATGATTCCATTATGTGACGCCATGTTCTTCATACTTACAAAATGTGAGAAAAAAATTAATGAATTAATTGGATCATTAAACATTTTTTTTTCGAAAATCTAATATATTTGTTTTAATTGGTTTCCAAACAGAATGTATTTGTATTCCCAAATGTTGCTATTTGCTCTACACTATTGGAATGTCTTTCCCATAATGCACTGCATATATGTTTAACTACAAACACTGAATTCTGAGTAACATCCAATCACTTAAGAGTTCTACAGAAAACACAGAAACTGCATACCTACCATCGAAGTCTAACCAGGTTTGACCACCGAGACTTATTATTTGTTCGTTAACTAGTATTTCCATTAATGTTTGTTCGTGCAGTCTTATCTCAACTTTGGCTCCACTGTAAAGCGTATCTTGCATGACGACGGCAGTCAACACGGTGGCATTAACTTCCTTTCCTGTATAAGGTTTGCACATAATATAAATATCACTAAATTGTACGCAAATTAATAGAATGCCCAAATAAAAAAAGAAGGGAGAAACTCAGGAACGTTGGACTGGGCGTATGGGCATTGTAGGCCTTGTTGGTTTTGCGAAATGGTACATGTGTGACTATTTCGTGTGCATGTTTATTGTTAACATTTTCTAAGAACATCACGCATACAGATGCGTTTGGATTGTTGAAGAATGCGATCTGTTAATGTTCTTTGATTTATTCTATTTTGGTTTGATTGCGTGGTTTGTTGCAAATTGGGTGTCGGATAAAGATTTCTAAAGCATATCAGTGCGATATGGGGTTCGCGTATGTACACAAACACCGAACAAACAAACAACAACCGGAGGTATACCCACCAATACGCCCTCAGTGTCAAATGCTTCAAACGTATTTATACAGCGATGACGTAGTTGCAATCATCAACGTGTACTATGCCTAAACTGCATTCCACAAGTCAGTCTGCTAATCAAAATGCACAACGAATACTCGCCCTCTTTAGTGTACTTCGATTATACTTTTGTTTGTTTGGTTATTGTTAAACAAGGTCTATTCCTACCTTCGCTGTCTTTAACTTTTTCAAATCTTCCTTGAAGTTCAATCTTGTCGTCGTTTGTCTTCAGCAAAATAAATTCACCCATATCATTAAACGCATATTCTAGTCCATCCAATGTGACGAAGTGTGGATCCCCTACGACAACCGCTATTGAGAAAACGATCGGGAAGTTACTTAATAGCCTGGTTCTATGAATGAGGCGCCCTCAAGCGACAAAACACTGTGACGTCATGGGCGCAAAAAATGGTGTTCAAATGATAACTGTGTGTAAATATCTCAAAACATTTGATTTACGGACAACTGATCATCAAAACAATATCGCCTTCCTGTTAACTAGTTTCGACACAGACGTGTTTCGTCGCTAGAGGGCGTGACGATGTAATACAAATACATATACATACATAATATATAAATAATCTGTTCTAGCTAGTCAAATAGAGAGTTGAACTTTTTTAAGTGCGTCCCTAATGGTATAGTAGTATAGTTTAATAGTTTAAAATGTGGTGGTTGGCAGACCGTGCTTTTGAATTTCATACAAACAATACCCGATATGCACAGTCACCTGAGAGATGACAATTGCAATAATTACATCAGTACAATTATATCATTTGTTTGGTTATCGCTCCAAACACAGCTTGTAAAAGACAGCCACCGTGGAATCGACGCACCGTCCATTACAAAGATAAAATTCTTACAATCGTATTATTCTTATAAGCCTTATAATCTAAAAATAAAAACTTCTAGAGCGTCTAGTGACACATTAATAACATTTTATTCTAATCGCTAAGTTTATTTTATTCAAAAAGTGAGTTCCGTCAGTTTGGGCCGATTTCAAGTTTACTACCGAAATCGCGGAAAATAAAATAACGAGTAGTTCTTGCGCGTTGTTACAGCATCAGTGATTGGCTGAAAGCCAAACATATTAGGTCATTACCCATAATTCCCCGTACAAGGACGCCTAATTATTACGTAAATATATTCATACCTGGTCTCGAAGGTTCGTAATCAATACAGTCCGTGGTTGCTCGTAGCTCCATGTATTTCCAACACCAGTCTGACCACAGACAACAGTAGTAGAAAGTAACTACGTCATCAAGCCAATGTGACATACTTGGCACTCTGCCAAGTTCATTATATGGATGATATCCCCATGTGTGATATCTGTCAGGCGTGCTCCCTTGGTCGGTGTCCGATGAGAACATCAGATTGCCATCCGCGTCATAGCAACACTGGTTACCACCACCCAGGTTTCTGCGCATGTACAGATAATATATATGACGTCATTTTTCTTAAACAAGTTACAAAACTAGACTCTACAACCACGAAACTGTAGAGTCTTTGCTACAACCAAAAGACAAATAGCCCTGTAATCGTTTCAAGACCGTTTTTCCAGTTGCGAAGAACAAACGCACATGTTCACAATAACAACGGATTTTTCCTTTCTTTATTCAAGTTAAAGTTTCAGTTTTGTTTTTTGTCAAGAATTGTATTGATTTTTAATGCCAGCTGATAAAATGTCATCCATTTTTGAAGTGTATTTTGTTCCTTACGTCCAGTATTTCCGAAGTTCGTGGTCGGTTTAGTAGCCCAGACCTAATGGTAATAGGGATGTCTCAGTTCGACTCAGATGATCGAGTTGCAGTTATTAAAGCGGGAGAGTCGTCACCTGCGCATGCGTCAGATGGCCATCGCGTGTCATTGTTTGCAAACAAGCGTTTACCCATGAGCCTTTGCGTTTTTAGCGTGTGTTGTTATCGTCGCTTGGGACTCAATTCCCCCGCGTGCGCAGGCGACGACCCTCCTGCTTTAAAGACATTCCTACAGAAAATTACATGTGTTGGTTTTACATGCCATACACAGAAAGATTTTTACATTATAACACAAGTAAGACCGTTCTCAAATGACCCTATTTTCGTTTTGTCTGCTGTACATTGGGCGTAGAGTAAAAACAAATACACATAAGCATGGTGATCAACAAACATACACAAGTATGGAATCTCCATGTCGGTCTCTTCTGTGTAGTCCGTGCTTCCATTTCCTTGCTAGAGTAGAGTTGACAGTTTAAGACCAAAATCTATTTTCAAATCATTCATGATTTGGCTTTTCTATGTTTCTATACGTTACCAAGAAAAAAATTCAAATCGATACACTTACGTTGGCATGGCTGATCTAGCACAGTGAAGCGCCCCCTGGTGATAGGTACACTTGCTTCCGTGAAACATACTACATCCTGTATCAACCTGCCATCTACCGGTGTCCACCAGTACCTGTTGCAATGTACACGGACACGGTAACAAACCTTTACCGGAGAAAAATAAATAAACAAGAAAAAAAAACATCAGTGTTCGCCGTCACATCGCGTGTGTTTTGTTTGAGTTAGTTGCTTTAAAAAAATAGGAAGTTGTCCGAATAAAACACATTTTTTCAGGTGGCGCCCTCTTGCGACAACGCGTTCCTGTGCGGTAAATTGGTATAAAGGACGCCGTTCACGGTTAAGAACGTCGATATTGTTTCGATCTGTCGACGCCCATCAATTCGCTGGTTCCCGGCGTCCTTTGCGAATGGCAGGTAGAACGCAGGTAACAAGTAATCGCCATATTGTTCCATTTGGGCCGGTTTTCCGGCCGGAAGGAACGCGACTGGGTGACGTAATTTGAAAACACTGCTGTATCGGAAACGCTTGACAAACATGCCCCCATGACTGAGAAGACTGTTCACGTTCGTGTGGCCGAGCCGTGGATAAATGTTGATATTTACCACGCCCGCACTGAACGCCGTAAAGCTGAACGGACGTGGCGGCGAACTGGTTTAACTGTCCATCGTCAAATCTACAAATCTAAACGAAATAAAGTTAATGATCTTATTGATGTATCACGTAGGAGTTATTTCGCTGATAAGATCGCGGATTGTAATGGTGACCAAAGAAAACTGTTTTCCATCGTAAATGGTCTTCTAGGCTCGACAAATAATTTGAATGCGTTGCCGATTCACGATAACAAAATAAATTTAGCGAATCGTTTTAGCATGTTTTTCGTGGATAAGATTAAGAAAATCAATCAAGGACTAAATCTAAATTTATTGAATGGAAACCGTTTTAACGAACTGCACAAGTT